TAGTGAGCTTATATTCAGTCACCCCAAAATACCCTGTGAAGTTTGATTACAGAGGTCCGGTGTCCCCACATCTGGCCCGTAAATGGTAGGTGGCTCAATGTTGGCCGAACTGAATTGGGCCCCTTTGTTGGCCGACAGCTCTCTGTTATCTACCAGAGAAAACGTTCTAAGAATTCCAGGCCTCTTATCACTGCCACTGGCCGGCAGGCGTGTAGGGCATGGCAAGTATTCAGGCTGTCTTTAAGAGAAAGTGTTGTCATTTGCGGGTTTTTTTTGCTCCTGTTTACAAAGAAGGGGGAGAGTTCAAAGTGGCATTCCCCCATATCAGACGTTTCCTATTCTGCTACCCCCCTCATGGTTGTCTTTGCTCCTTTTTCATGCAGTGATATCTACCACCCCAGTGACATCCCATCCAAAGCTCACTGGAAGGGGCTTGTGGTCTATGTATTTGCTGTCATAGTGATGGGGAAGCCTTTTTGAAATCTACCTTGGGAGTTGGGTGTAACATTTATCTCCCCACCCTTAGTTATGTAACCCCTGTCTTGTACCCTCCTCTTCTATAACATGGTAAACTGAGTCTGGGCTCTGGTTTTAGAGAGTTGGACAGGAAAAAGGGAGAAGGTCATTCTAACCCTTCCTAAAATGTAGCTTGTCACTTTGAAGAACCATCAGAACCACAGGCGAGTGGCTGCTATCCAGGCCACTTCTCTTGGCTCCAGCCCCGAGCAAACAAGTCCATTTAGGAATCTTAAGGACTAAATATCAGAATCTAAAAATTGGGTGCAAGGTAGGAAGGATGGTGACCTCAAGGTGCTTTTCCGTCATCGTAGAGGAAGAGGAGCAGGGCCCTTGTTGACACTGTGACACACAGAGAAGTCATCTTTGCAGGCCACGCTGGGGTGGTGGCCAGCAGGCTGCATCCAGCTCTCAGGGCATCAGTACCAGGCTCCATCTAGCTGTTCCGAGGGCGATGGGGTTGACACATCTGCCTTCCTCTAACCAGGTGAACTGGCTGGGACGCTCAGAGGAAGGGTATTTCTATTTTCTTAAGGCACTGGTCCTTAACTGGGGGCGATGTTGCCTCCCAGGGGATATTTGGTAGTATCTGGAAGCACTATTGGATGTCATAGTGGGGGGCGGGCAGTGTTTGTGATTGGCAACTAATTGGATGCTGCTAATCACCCTACAATGCACAGGACAGCTCCACCCCCGCCCCCCCAATGTCACTATTGTGGCTGTTGAGAACCCTGTCCCAACCAAAGGAGAAACTCAATCTGAAAAAAGGGCCAAGTCAAGAAAGGGCATGTCTATTAGTCTAAGTCCAGCTTTAAAAACATCTCTGCAAAAATTATTTCTAGACCCACACAGAGCAGAGCTCATCTGTCCTTCCGTCTCTCCCCACACTACCCCGTTCCCCCTCAAATGTATAGCTTATTTTGCCTACTTCAATAATTTATTATTTTTCTTTTTGTGGGTACTTCTTACTAGTCATTGGTAACTAAGAAGCTCAAAGACGGGGTGTCAGGATGAAATGTGGGGAGCACTGCATCCTACAGTGAGTTCCCCAAGGATGGGGCTGACTTCAGGGGACCCAAGGGGTGCTGCTGTGGGGAAGAAGAGGGCAATGAGTCTCTGGTTAATATCCCCTTAAACCCATTTGATGTTGAGTAAACAAACAGATGTAAAAAGAAAGGGAACATCAGCTCACTTGGACAGAGCCCAGAGGTGACTGGCGGACAGGCCAGGAGAGCTGTCAGCAGTCATCTCCGCGTGCTGATCCCAGCCCCGTTTCAATCAGCGTCTCCCTGGCACTCTGGGGCCCTTATTCCACTAAAGATTTATGCCAGGTTGTTATTAAGAAGAAACATCTTAATCCCCTTTATTGAACTCCATGGCTTAATCTTGGTTACCAAGTGACTCAGGAAGCTGCGTGGAGGGTGCGCTTCCCTCCCACAGACACGATTAACCTCTCGGCTTATTTTCCAGAAAGTCTCAGGGGTATTGGTATGGGGGGGGGAGGGTAAAGTCACTGAGGGGAGGAGGAGGAAGAGAAGAGGGGAAGAGGAAGAGGGAGAGGAGGGGGCAGGAGGGGAGGGCAAGGAAGGGAAGGGAGTCAAGCAATGGTCTGAGAAGCAAGCCAAGTGCAGAGCCAAAGCTGTGGTTCCTCTGCTCCCACAAACGGTCAAAAACTAGGTCATGGTCTAGAGGTGGGGGCTCTTGTTTCTTTTTTATCGTGTCATTTGATAGTTCTCCTTCAGGAACACAGAGAAGAAAACACAGAGGTTACAAACAATGAAAGGGGGTGGCAGGGGACCAGGGCAAGATGCTGAGCTCTGCTTTCAATTCAAAGTTCAAAGGGAACTTTGGAGATGAAATGACAAATCCTCCCCACCCCCTCCTCAGTGTCATCCAGGGGAGGCCTTCCTGCATCCCGGCTGCTCTCCCGTACAGATGGTCCCATGCGAGTCCTGACAGCCACTGGGCGAGGTGTCCGTATCAGCACATGGGCCCGCCCGAGTCAGGAAGGCCACTGACTTGTGACACATCAGCCCCCTCAGCTGCCCCTCCTCTAACCTCACTCCTGGCTGGGGCGCGGGGAAGGGGGACTGGGAATGAGATAGGGGGCCGGCCATGGCAGTTCTTAGGAAGAAAGTATTCCAGCCTCCTCCAGGAAAACACTCCCATTTCTTCAAACCATCAACAAAACACCTCGAGGAGCTGCCTAAGCCCCCTTCCCTCCACCCCCTCCCCTGCCTGACCCCCTCCTGACCCCGTGGACCGAGGTACTCACGCTGCTGGGGTGGAGCATGGGCAGGGGCAGCAGCAGCAGCGGCACCAGGATGGACAGCAGCAGTTTCCTCGCCCCGAGCAGGCCCTTCAGCAGACCCATCCCGGACCTGTGCTCGCTCCCTCGGAGCCCGCCGGGCCGGCCAGAAAAATGCCTTCGCTTCTCCAGGTGCGCGTGGTCCAGAAGACTTCGTACACCTCTCGGCTTCCCAGAGTCCTGTGTCGTCGTGGGGCAGAACAGGAGGCAGTTACAGCCCCTGCTGGCACAGAGGCTGGGCTCCTCGCTCCTGTTTTAGGTGGGATTGGCGAGCATGGTTTCATGCCCAGCCAAAAGGAACCGGGAAGGGATGGTAACCCGAGGCATAGTGGGCTCCCTCTTCGCTGCGTTAGTAATAGAGTAACTGCATTCTAGGGCCAGCAAAGGTCCCCTTAATCAATCAAAATTCCACCTCTTCGGTAGCTGATTGGCCTTGAAGAAGTCATTGAAAGGCTTAAAGATACCAAGAGGACACCGTGCCCTCCATCATTGTCTTCCTCTGTGGCCTCTTTTGGGCAGTGCCAGTTTCACTTCATACCTGTGCTCCTTCACTGGACCCCTTCTTCCCTTAAAAAAACACAAAAAAAACCTAGTACCCCCTTTCCTTAAATCAGGCCCCCCGCAAGTTTGTCAGCAGAGGATGCAGACTTCAGATGGGGCTGGGCTTCTTTCCTGGGACCTGGCACCTTAACTGGGTTCAAATGTCTTTCCTTCAAATTGATTTCCCACTTATGATTTGCCTTGAGCCCAGGGCCTCTGGAGCAGGAAAAAAAAAAAAAGTCCCCAGACATTCCAAGTTGTCACGGGACAAAATCTTGCTGGAGGCCCACCTTCACTTCCATTCACCTATGGGAAGCCAGGCAGAGGCAGTAGCCCCGCCCATTCCCACAGCCAATCAGCGCGGCCAAAAGAAGGAGTCAGGCTCCGTTCCGAAGGCCCTTCTTGATTGGACCCAGCAGGGGCCTGCTGATTCTGCAGAACTTAGGCAACTTGCAAAGCTTATTTTTGTTTCTCAAACATCCTAGGGGCTGGAGTGAGGACCATCATTGGAAACCTAATCCCGCTTCCCCAGGCACTGCTCTGTCGTAGGGGACTCTGGGACACAGACCTTGCTCTGGGAGGGCCACTGCTCACTAGGCCTTCGGAGGAGGATGTGTCTAGGGGCAGGGAGAAAAGAAAAGATTAATTCTGGAGACATTTGCCCCAGAGTGCACAGTATTAACCCTTCCAGACTTCCCTGGTGGCAAAGCACGTTTGATAACGTGTCCGAGTCAGCAGAGGTGTCAGCCTGTAAGAACGCCCAGACCTTTTTAGGGAGAATGGGAAGGATAGCTGCCTATCTGGAAAAGTCTAGATGCCAGTCTCACCTCAGAGGCACTTGGTGCCCAGACGTCAGTGGTCTTTCTGGCCTGAGTAGGTGCTCAAATGCCCTTCTCTGAGGCTTTTTACCAAAGAAGAAGCAGAAGGCGTCCTTTGGCTGGGCTGCGCAGAGAGGGGAGGACAGGGGAGAAGTTGTCAAGTTCAGGGACAGGGCCTTTGCAGCAGGTGGACTCTGGACTTTCGCTGCTTACAGATCAGGAGAAGCTGTTAGCCTTTCTCAGAAACGACATGTGGATTTGGGGCAAGGGAGGAAGGAAAGAAAGAAAACCCAAACGTTCTGTAACTGGTGGTTCTCGGCAGCATTGCCTTGATCTGAGAGACGCTGAGCAGAGTCAGGGGCTATGAAACCCACGTTCTCATGAATTCGTGGAATGTAAGGAATGGCGTCCCAAGATCTATAGCTCGACCAGTTGGAAATGGTCCCCAGGCTAAAGTTAAAGTGACTGGAAAACTGACTCCAGAAAACCAGTTCTTCTTGACTTCTAAGGCAGGTGCAACCCTGGACAGCCTAGGCCCCCTGAGAAATTATCTTTTTGTTACAGGATGGGCTGTGATGGCTTATCTCTTTAAATGCCTGTTAAAGACTGTGGTATTTACTACATTTGAACTTTCTTTTTTTGTGATGATTTTGAAACTCAGCATGGACAGTGCCACACGTGTGATGTTTGGTGGCAAATATTAAAGAGACTGGATGATAATAAATAGCTGTGGAAATCAACATTGCTGTTAACCCCCCGAACCGCTTCAAATTTCTGGCTGAGATAATCTGAGATAACAAAGATTCCACTGAGCCTAATAACTCCATCATGACTTATTTATTACACCATAGTGAATATTTGTTAAATAAAATTAGGTAAGGTGAGTGACACAGTAAGACCAGTAGTTCTTCAGAACTCAAGCCACTTTTTCAGTCGCAGAAAGCATTTTCCAGAATACAACACTTAAGAAATGTAAGATAAATACCACTTATATGAGGTATTGAAAGTAGTCAAACTCTTAGAAACAAAACGTGGAATGGTAGTCGCCAGGGGCTGGGGGGGACAGGAAAAGGGAAGTTATTGTTCCATAGATACCATTTTTTCAGGATGAAAAAGTTCGAGAGATCTGTCACAGAACAATGTGCATATAGTTAATTTTTAACATCTCCCTACAGTTAAAAATGGTTCGGATGGTTAATTTGTGTTGTGGTTTTTTGTCTTTATTTACTATAATAAAAAAAAAAGTAAGACATCAAAGAGGGTTAGAAAAGTAAGGGGTGCCATGTAAAGTCATTTAACAAGCATTTGATCTTAGATCAGTTTACCTGTGGAAATACCTTCTGACTGGCCGCTTATGTGATTCTCTTTCAGCTAGAATCAAGGGGAGGCGAGAGAGCAATGACAGCACATAGACATTTTGCAAAGTCTCTTGAGTGGCACCAGAGGTAGCCGTGAGGATGCCAACTATGGAGGAAACTTCCAGAATTTCTAGATCCTCAAATTTCCACTACAAACATCACACCCCAAACTGTTCCGTTTACGAGTAAATGTGACACATTGTGACTCAGTTGTGACTGTGGTGTGTACAGTGTGGCATTAATGAGGCAAATGGAAGATTCCGTTTCTGTCCAGTCTTCTACTTTCTTGTGCATTGGGCAGAGAGACGGGTTTTGGGGTGGCGGTCACGAGTGTAACATTTGATTTTGGATGTAAATGAAGTCATGGTTATAAAATTTTCTGTGGGTAAACAACTAATTTGTATTCAGACTAAAATAATGTTGAAGTATCTAGTTACTGAAAATGGAATATTTACTTGTCTTTAAAAAAGCTCATGACTTTTCTTTTTCTATTTTTTTCGGTCCTGTATTGCCACACAAACATGGACCCGAATTCATGAATACAGAAGTGCCTTTACTATTTTGTTACAGGGTGAACGAACCACCACTGATTGCTCTCCCTGGTCTGGGAATCATCCTCCCACTCACGGACCCCCGACTTGGAGCAGCCGTGCAGAGCATGACAGGGTAACCAGGGGACCACCGGTGGGTCTTTCCAGCTGGTGCCTGAAAGCTCCCAGACCCCCTTCCGATGGAGTGGCGTCCCAGCATAGGATGCAAGACTGGTGGTCAGGGTAGTTATTGTACAGTGTCTAGCGGCTGAGGCCTCTACTAACCCCCTTCAAATCTCACATCAAGGAGAAGTACAGTGAAGGTATATTGTGAGGCTAACCTGCCTGTGGGCAGTCCCACCCCTGTCTCTACTTTGATCTTTGTTTTCATCAGACAGTGATAATCAAAGGAGGCCGAAAGCCAGGGTGCTCAGGGTACGATACGGGCGGCCGAGATAGTGTGCAAATGTCAACCCCAGGGCACCTGGAGCGGCTCCAAGAAATGGGGGCAAAGAGAATCAGAATCAAGCCCAAGAGAGAGCTGCAGAGACACAAACTAAACTTAAAAAAGAGACCAGCAGAGCATGTGAAAGAGAACTGATAATATTAGGAAGAGGAAACATGAACAAAAAAGCATTTGTCCTCAGTGTGCATTTGAGGGCGGTAAATGAGCAGTGCCATCAGAGAACAAGAAGGAGGGGGCGTGGGTTATTATCTTCTGCGTCTGAGACCATCAGGATGCAAAGCTATGTTTTTCTCTGGTACCTTCTTCCTGCATTCTAGTACTTCTCCAAAAAGATCACGCAGCTCGGGCTGCTAGGCAAAGCGCACGTATTCAACGATTTTAAAGAAGTCCAGACCAGCTTTTGTGATCATCAAATGACAATTGTTAAATACCCATTTCAAAATCAAATTTAGCCCAACGAATCCTCACTCATTCAAAGATCAGACTGCTTGGACATTAGCCTCCAGGACCAGGCTGTAAACCTGGGGGGCGGGGGGGGAGGGGGCAGAGCGATCTCTGAGCCAGTGGGGACTCTTTACTGGAACCCAGGCGCTTCGCTCAGCAGAGGCCTTCATCTAGTAACTCTTAGCGCAGACGTATAACAAGCCTAGCCATCCGATTTTTAGTGGCTGTAAGCTACGAAAGAACAAAATGCAAAAAGCAAGTGATGTTGGTCACAGAGAAAAGCGCACTCTTCTGGCCTGACAGCGAGGAAGGCAGCAGAAGAGCTCACCCCGAGACAGAATTAGCCAAGCCTGGGACCTGCCGGGCTGGCACAAGAGTCCAGCAGACCTCGCGGGTCCCCGTGCACTGTCTCACAGTTAGACAAATGACTGGAAATGTCAGGAGTCGAAGAACCTTAGAGATTAAGTTATCCAACTCCTTCCTTCGGATGTTTCAGAGCTACTAAATAAAAGCTTAAGGCATTCCATCTGCGTAGTTTCAAAAGATATCAAGTCAGTATCGCTAACATGAAAAACTGGCCTTGAAAGGGTAAAATTCTGTCATCTGAAAATCAGTTGTATTTGGAGCACCGAGTCTCTGATGATGCTAAGTAATCTGAGTTAGGACAGAAAGGCGAGGCCGCGGGTGCCCCCTCTTTGCTAGCAGGACCTCTCTGCATTAGCTTGGCTTCCCTGTTCAGAAGACAAGGTGTTGCCTGTTTGTAGTAGACCAGCCCTCACATAAGAAGAGTCAAGACATACAGGTCAGACAATTACCAGTTTTCTAACTCATTCTTCTCGGCGACTTTTAGAAAAATTGAAGAGTCTATCCTTGGCTAACAAAGTACTTATTTGGCTGTCGCTCTAGCTTTGTTGTATCTTACTACAGAGACTTCAGAAAATGTGCATTTAACCCAGCACCCTGATCTCTTAGGACCAAAGAACTCTGTCCCCCATTTCCCACCATGCTCAAACCTCTATGATGTCTCCTCCAGCTCTGTCCTCCCTCGTGGGGGTTTGTGGCAGTCACTCAGGGTGGAAGCAGCTCTTAGACTCTGCATGTCACCAGGCAAACCGTTCGGCCTCTGGAGGCATCTTGAATGACCACTCCAGCCCTTTCTTCCGGCCCAGGTCACCTTATGACATGAATCAGATGCGCCTGTCAGGAAGCTACCACGGGGAAAGAGCATGGGGCTGAATTATTTTATCTCTGCTACTCTGAGCTGGTGGCATGTGTTTTGCTGCTGGCCTCTATAAATGGTGTAGAGAATGAAGAATTTCTGGATTACTGTGTGTGCGGGGCCCTGCTCCGAGGTCCTGGTGTGGGCCTGCCTCTCAGGCAGACACTCTGGAGCCTGAGGACCGCATCAGGTCATGCCTCAGGGCCTGGAAAAGGCTGAGGAGGGCCTGGGCCCAGATGTCCTTCTGATGCCCTTGGGACAGGGCTGTGCGGTAGGCCGCATAGGCCAGGGTCAGCGCTGTCCTTTCAAAGTCCTCTTTCTTCAGGACGCCGGGGAGGCTGGCGAGGCTGGCGCTGAGCCTTCGGATGTCCGGGATGCGCTTGGGGATCACATCATTGCAGACGGTGCGGAAGTCAGAGGCCTTCCTTAGGGAGGCGAGCTCCTCGTCCTTGATGGAGATCTGCAGGTCGGGGCTGATGTCCAGCTCAGCTAGCAGGAACTGGTGAGACATGAGGTATGGAAACACATGAAGCATTGGGCATTGTGGAGGACACCACTGTTTTCGTCCTCACCTGCCTTCCTTGGGGGAGGCCGCTGTGGAAAGAGCTTTGGAATCCAGGAGACCTGGGTTCCAGTTCTGACATTCCCACCGACTTGGGTGACTCACTGCACGTCCCTGAGCCTCACTTTCCTCCTCTGTGAAATGGTTAGTAGCAAAAATACTCTACAGGGCTGTTGTGGGAAGTAAATAAGACAATTATGGACACCCTGGTACAAACATTGTCCCTGGTACAAAGCCACTATTTAATGACTATTTATTATTTTTGGTGTCCCAGATTAACCCATTCTTCCCTTTCTCCCACCCACTGAAGATTTTCTAAATCATGAACTATTTCAGATAATTTTAAATCAGAAGCTGGGGATTGAAGGACGCAGAGAACTGTGCTAGGACTTAAGTGGGACACAGAGGTTTGTCCTCACTTCTCACCCGTTCTTTAAGAGTGGGGGTGGGGTCTGCCGCATGCATCCCTTGCTCAGTGCTGGGCTCACATCAGGACCCAGTAAACACCTCTTGGACTTGGGGTTCTAACTTGTGTCTGCTTCCAGCTTCCCCCGCTCCATCCATCTCCACGCTCCTGTCTTTCTCAAAGGGACCTGTGATATGACTCCCACGTTCAGGACTCGGTGAAGGCTATGCATTTCCCAGTGAGTTCCCCGTGGTCAGACCTGCCTGCAGCAGGCGGTCTCTTTCTTAGCCGGAGAGTTCTGGAACATGGAGGATGCCAGAGGATGTCAAGGCAGGAGGGGAGTTTTGGAGATCACTGTATCCCTCATTTAACATTTGAGGAGATCCGGGCCCAGAGACATGGTGGCTGCTGCAAGGTCACATGGTTGATGAGTGGCAGGACCAGAACTAAAGCTCAGACCTTGAGCCTGGAATTTTATCACTGAATTGGATCAAGGGGCCTTGGGAAATTTACCCGTGGTTTGGAGAAGTGGGTCTGAGTGGTGGAGATAAGGGGCAGAGGAAGAGATCCTTTGGGGTGCCCAGATGGCCAGAGACTGGGCTGTCACAGTAGGCAGTTACCTAAGACAGGGCTCCACCAGACAAGCGGCTTGGCATTGCCTGAACCCTATGATGAGTCCTGCCTCCTGGCATTTGCTCGAGACTATTGACTCTGCTGCTAGGGTGCTGGGAGTGGCACCTGGGGCCCAACCTAAATCTCTAATTTTGCCCCCAGTGACCTCCTAATGCCACCTCTCCCTGTTTGGCATGTGGGAAAGGAGAGGAGATTCGAGGGATACCTTACTCTGGGATGGCCACGATTTGATGGCCCCACAAAGGAGTCCAGGCCAGTCCCTAAGGCAGCCAGGGCCACTCATTCTCAGGGGCTCAGGTCATTCCTCCAACAAACAGAAAAGTTGCAACGCCTTTGGGGTGATGTGGCCACTTGCGCCTCTGCCTACCTCGTAGAGCAGTTCTACTTCCTCCAGGGAGCTCTGCAGGACGGGGTTCAAGGGCATGGAGGACGATCTCTTTGGCCGATGGGCAGCAGGGAACAGCACGGCTGCAAGAAACAAAAGCAGAGGCTCCAGCAGCTGTGCACTTGGCCCTCCCCTCCGTAACCTTGAGGTCAGCCAGGCGGTCTTGAAAGTGACGGACTGGAAGCTGTGGTGGTCAATGAGCGGGAGAGATGACAGGCAGCTCTGATGTGTCCCGGAAGCTCCCAGGCATGTCAGATGTTCCTGTTTCAGACCAGTGATTTCCGACATGGCTGCTTATCAGAACCATCCCAGAAAGCTTGGGAAAATATAGGTGTCCCCAAAAATGTGTACACACACTCTGAATAATTACAAAGGCAGTGTTCATTAAAATACATTTCATTTTCAAAGTTGAGCTATCAGCTGTTAAAGTATGTATACATTTTTTGGACACCCTGTATGTAGTGTACAGGGGTGGGCAAAAGTAGGTTTATGATTGTTTGTGTGGAGAAAGACATGCAGGTCACGATGATTATTATTTATTTTTAAATAAACGTTTTATTTTTATTTATTTTAAAATATATTTTTATTGATTTCAGATAGGAAGGGAGAGGGAGAGATAAACACCAGTGATGAGAGAGAATCATTGATTGGCTGCCTCCTGCACGCCTCCTACTGGGGATCGAGACCACAACCAGGCATGTGCCCTTGACCGGAATCAAACCTGGGACACTTCAGTCCACAGGCCTGCACTCTATCCACTGAGCCAAACTGGCTAGGGCAGGTCATGATTATTGCAATAGCTTTTTTAACTCTGCGTTTCAAGTACTCACAACTGTAAACCTACTTTTGCCCACCCCTATATGTCAAGGGAACTTGTGTTAAAATCAAACAGAAATGAGCAAACAACAAACCCCTACACATGCAACAAATGAGTCCCCTAATAATACTGTTCTCTAATAGTAATGCACATTGTAGCATCTGATCAGTATGAAGTGCTGGTTTTTATTTAGTGAGAACATTTTTCATCAGAGGATCAGGCTTCTGGCTATTCCCCCGCCGTCTGAAGTACAGCTGCCAAGAATCTGGGCACAGGTGACAAAGGAAAGGAAGAGAGCTGCCCAAGACCCTGACAGGTGGCTCTAGGGGAGTGTGGAGCCTGGCTTAGGCTTCCTCCCAAGGATCCGCTGACTTAGAAATGCATTTGGGACAAAGTCAATGACTCACTAATGCCGTTTCTTTGTGGTTGCATTTGGAAACAGTAGCTGGAGGAAGATGGATGGGCTGCTACGGGTAGAGAGTAGGGAGAACTAGGACCTTATGAGGCCAAGTGAAGGAAGAGACAGAATGTTACAGAGCGTAGGAATAATCATTATACATTGCAGTTCTCTGGGTCGTATCAGGCCAGGAGCAGACAGCCATGCCTAACCCCACAGCCCCATGATTGCCAAGCCTGCTGCCAGCTGATAGAAAAAGGCACAGCTTCTTGCGCCTAAGGTAACTGGGACCAGGGTGATATGTCAAATATTAAATCACTAGTGGCCTGGTGCACAAAATTTGTGCAGGGGGTGGGGGTGTCCCTCAGCCCGGCCTGCACCCTCTCCAATATGGGATCCCTCAGGGGATGTCTGACTGCCTGTGGGATCGGTCCTAAACTGGCAGTCAGACATCCCTCTCGCAATCTGGGACTGCTGACTCCTAACCACTCACATGCCTAAATAGTGACATAATTAATACTATCAGTGATACAAACAAATAACAAAGATCATGAAGGTGGTAGTCATGGGAAGCCCAGTACTCTACAGTGTGCTACAGTCAACAGCCAAGTTCCTGCATCTCTTTCTAGGGTCAGGGGTTGTGAGGGACATACATTTAGATACTTTCCTTAACTATTATCTCTGTTTTCCTGCTTCAAAAGTCTGGGCACTCAATAATTACTGATTAGTAAACCTTGGGGGAAAGTAATATTATATGAAATATCCAGAATAGGCAAACTCATAAAGACAAAATTTAGAATAAAGGTAACTAGTGACTGAAGAGGGGGGAATGGGATGTTATTGTCTAACACAGTGGTTCTCAACCTTCTGGCCCTTTAAATACAGTTTCTCATGTTGTGACCCAACCATAAAATTATTTTCGTTGCTACTTCATAACTGTAATGTTGCTACTGTTATGAATCGTAATGTAAATATCTGATATGTAGGATGGTCTTAGGCAACTCCTGTGAAAGGGTCGTTCGACCACCAAAGGGGTCGCGAGCCACAGGTTGAGAACTGCTGGTATAGATAGAGGCCTGGTGCACAGGTGGGGGCCGGCTGGTTTGCCCTGAAGGGTGTCCCGGATCAGGATGGGGGTTCCCTTGGGGGGCAGGGCGGCCTGGATGAGGGGCCTGTGGTAGTTTTCAGGCTGGCCACGCCCCCACTGGGGTCCCCACTGGGAATGGTGCCAACCTGGGCGAGGGGCTGGGGCAGTTTGCAGGCCATCCATGCCCCCATGGGGTGAAGGTCCCCGCTGGGGGGCCATGGACAGCCTGGGTGAGGGGCTGAGGGCCATTTGCATGCCCCTCCCTCGGTGGCTGGCCCGGGTAACCCAAGCCTCCCACACGCTCAGGCTGGCTGCGTGGCCGCCGCCCACAGGCCCCTCCTTCCGCGGCTGGCCCAGGCGGGTGGGAAGCTTGGCTTCCTTTGTTGCCGGGGGTGAACCAAGCCTCCTGCCAGCTCTGGCTGGCTCCGTGGCCACCACCATCTTTGTCCGGCTAATTTGCATATCCCCTCCTGATTGGCTGTGGGTGTCACAGAGGTATGGTTAATTTACATATTTGTCTATTATTAGTGTAGATCAGTCAGATCCCCTTAATCTTAGATGACTCTTCTTTCTGCTGCAGTGTGCTGCCACCAAAATAACTATTCAAGCCCTGACTGGGCTCGAACCACCAACACAGCAATTAAAAACAAAACATAAATAATTGCATAGAGAGATTTTGGTTAAATTTCATATTACGGAAGATGCTCCCAAATGCATAAATGAGGAAGTAAGATTCTCTATATGGCTTGGTACCTTGAATCCAGGAGCAGTAAATGGACACATTGTACCACTTGAGGAGTTTATATCTGGGAAGCACTTAAAATAAATCATGTCATTTTAAAAAAAGAAAGAAAAAGGTACAGCTTTTCCAAGACACTGGATTGTGATCTCCCAGAAAACTGGGCAACTAACTGTAAAGAACCTGAGGCTCCGAGGTAAGTAGCGCCCCCTAAAGTTGGGCAAAGCATGCCAGCTCTGCATCTTGATACTGGTGTCCTGGGACCATCAAGAACGGGCCCACTGACATCCAGGGTACTGTGTTAAAGAAGGCAGGGGGCTGCATAAGCATCTTAGAAAAAAATTGATCTGAAGTAATAAAAATGAAACATCTTTGATATAAAGACATTTCCTGAAAAGCTCACTGGTAGGAATCTCCACTCCCTGGAAAGAGCTGGTTGGTGGAGTATTGCTGTAAGATTGCTTTCTCTGTACACATTTATTATCTATACCGCGAGTTCCTCTTGGGTTAGGATAAAGATGGTTGTAGGGTTCTGCCCCCAGCAGGTCCTGGCAAGCTTCCAGGCCGAGCGCTAGGCGCCGCTGTTGGCTGACGAAATCCATGCACTGGGGGAGCCTGACCAGCATGACCTCTGCTCCCTCAGACCGCTGTGGGAAGGAGCCATGACTGGAGCAGTATTTCCTAGCCTCGCATTTTAGCAGAATTTGTTCTCGTTGCCAGAAAACTGGCCATTTCCTCACAGAATCAGAGATTTAGGGCTTCGCCTCTGTTTGCTCACTGCCTCTGCCTGTAGTTTTAGGTGGAGCTCAGGAGAGTGAGGCAGCTCCTAGGCATTGGGTCCAAAACTTTGACCGCACATTAGCATCGAGCAAGGGCTTTAAAAACTACTGGTGCCGGCCCTCACTGGTTTGGCTCAGGGGATAGAGCGTCGGCCTGCGGTCTGAAAGGTTCCAGGTTCAATTCCAATCAAGGGCATGTACCTCGGTTGCAGGATCCTCCCCGGCCCCGCCAATCAATGTGTTTCTCTCACATCTCTATTTCTTTCTATCTTTCCCTCTCCCTTCCTCTCTCTCTAAAAATCAATGGAAAAATATCCTGGGGTGAGGATTAAAAAATAACAAAATACTGGTGCCCTGTCCCTGCTTCATAGGTTCTGATTTAGTCAAATGAGGGGGGAACTGGGACAGTAGATTTTTGGCAGCTTCCTAAAGGCTTCTAATGGCAGCCAAGGCTGAGAACCAGCAGGTGCTTGCCTGAGGCTGTATAGAAGGTGGTGCCTCGGCCGGATGGCCACTCTGAGGTGAGCCCAGTGGCTCTCAACCTTGACTGTACATTAGAATCACCCGGGAGTTTTTAAAAACTCAAATGCCACGGCCACCTCTCAGGCCCTTTCACGGGTGTCTCTGGGGTGGATGTAGGCATCAGGACTGTTTATGGCTCCCAGGTGATTATAACGGGCAGGCCGGGTTGATGACCATTGGGCTATCCGGATCCACAGCCAAGAACACGGCACCAAAATGCAAAGTTCACTCCCATCGGAGGCCTTGCAGGCTTATCTGAAGAGATGGAGGCAAAGTAGAGACACGGGAGGGCGTGTGCTCTGACTCTGCTTTCTCCTTGGTGGGAGATGACACCAGGACCAGAGCTGGTCCAAGACCAAGATGTGACCTGTTTCTGGGTGCTCCTCCGACGAAGGTGTGATGAACTGTCTTCTCCGGAAAGGATCTGAGAGCAACTTTACTTCTTTCATTCTTCTTCCAGCCTTTCTCTTACTGTGACATTAAAGGGATTGGTTGCCTTAAAACCATTCTCACCCGGCAGGTGAAGGGGACAGGAGGGGACGAGTGTCCCGGGCACGGAGCCTTTCTGCTGCCTGTCACAGACTCGGGGGCTGCCTCTGGGGAGGCTATTCACCGGCTAGACCTGCCTTTCTTCACTCATTCGTTTCCCTGGGACAGCAACACTCCAACATGCTCGCCCAGGGGCCCCTCATCCTCAAAGAGGTGGGAAGGAAATACCTCCTGATTCAAAGCGGAAGTTCATCATGGAAGCGTTGTTCTCATCGTTTCAAAAATAATGACAGAGTTTGGGAAAGATTGTGAGAAATAACTTCAGCCTCTAGACCAGCCAGGGGATGGACAATTGCTTCCAGAAGTGTGTGGGGAGCACAGGAATCTGAAAAGGGGGGGGTCCGCCCTCCTCCCACCTCCAGCCAGTGCCCCTGCCTCCTGCAGGCACCCCTGGCATTGCTGCAGCAGCTCTGACTGCGTATGGCAGGCAGAGGTGCAGTGAGCCGGAGGGGGGGAGGGGGAAAGGGGGGGAATCTCAGCGCCGCCCGGGCCTCCCTCCTCAGGAATGGGACAGGGTACCTTCCTCTCCACTGGACTCGCTGCAGGCTGTGTCTGCTCCATGTCCCAACATCCAGATACAACGTTAACCTCCAGTCACTCCAGGTGGTTTTGCCCATAAAGGGGAAGTCTGGACCCTGCCAGAATGTAAGTGGCAGAAACAAAGGCTGGCCAGCTCCCAGAGGTGTGCGTGTGAAGCTTTAAACTACACTCGCTCCCGCTTGGCGAGAAAAACAGCCCTGTCCCCAGGGCCTATCCGTGAGCCCGGCCGCACAGCGTGGTTCCTCCTCTGCCCTTGTGGTTCCTGCGTCCATCCTACACATCGCACATCTGCCGGCAACCGCCAGCTCCCGGGGGAGGAAACTTACGCTTCCTCCCCTGGACCTCAGTGACTGCGTGACTCGGTAGCTGGGCTCTGAGTGCAGGCTCAATGCCTATATTTTGGAATGATTTCTAAAAAACCCAGCTATTAAAGAAAAAAAGAAAGAAAGAAAGGCAACAACAGAACACAACATCCCTGGAGACTCTCCCATGCATGCTTTGCTGGGTTTGCTTCCTTTCCCTTCCGTCCCATCTCCCAAATTTATGGAGGTCATTTTAGGTTCGACTCCTCCTCACTGTCAGCTTTGGGGCAGCGCAGTCTTTGCAGGGCTGAGAGGAGGAGACCTGAGTGCTTCCCCAGCTGCCATCGGCAGGGACTTCTCCTCTGAGGGAGGAGAGAGAGGGGGCAGGCTGGGGAGACCAGGGACTGGCAGGAGGACCCGTGCCCACCTCTGCACCACTGAGCATCGAGCTTCGGGCAAGAAGACTGCTGGCACAGTTTTGTCACAATCACTGACTTTGTGTACTTTTTTAGTGTAAAACTGGGCCAGTTTGTTTCTTTCTTCTCCACTCAGTGCTCCCCACCCAGCCAGTCTTCAGCGATTTCTTCAGGATGTGATTGTGCCAGGAGGGCCATGCAGTGTGACCAGGGACACGAGGACTCCCAGCCTCCCCGCATGGCGTCTCCCGCACGGCTGGCCTTGGGGCGGGGGCTGTGAGCTCTCCCCGCCTCCTGCACGCCCTGCACAGCTGAGCCTCAGGGAGAAATTGAGTGGTTATGATTCTGTTGGACAGACCAGCACAGAACAAATGATTCACTCGCTGAAGGTCATGCCACATGCACTGAGTTAGTGCAGAAATTGGACCCAGACAGGCAGGAACCATGTGTCACAGCATGTTCTGTCCATGTCTTCTGTGGAAAGACACATTTGGACCTCAGACCGAAGTTGTTAAAATGTGGCGCTCGGACTAACAACAGCTCACGAGCCCACTGGGCGCCCATCAGCGTGCTTTGTGCTTTCCACGTGCACTGTGTGAGGTAAGTATTTCTATCCCGTGTAGAGAGAAGAAACTTGGAGGTTAAGAAACTTGTCCTAGGCCATCTGATTTGCTTGCTCTAGGGCTGCAATGAAAACCCAGATCTCACAGGCTCCAAAACCCACTCTCGCCAATAGGTGAACAATGCTATCTTTTTGTAGGCACGTTTGCCCAAAGACTGGGTGTTCCTCAGTTCTGAATAACTACAGGAAGGATAATGTTCATTGTGAATGAATGAATGGATATGGTCTGTAACATATTAAATGAAGCACACATATTAAAAAAATCTCTGACTCTGATTTATAATGTGCTATGCAAGGTCAAATGCCTACAGCCCTGTGATCACACTGACACATATCCTCACCTCCTCTGCCCCCTCTTTGCTCCCTTGCAATCACTTGGCATAAAGCACAACCCACCTCCTCACCTTTCCCACACCAGCACCGGTGCACCTGAATGTGTGTGTGGGGGGGAACACACCCATGGTCTCACTTGAAATTCATCGTTATTCTCGCACGGGCCCTGACATGCTTCCCGACCATTTCTCCCATTTCTCACTCCATTTCACTGTGACATAGACAATGATTTCACCCCATCTGCTTCCCCCTTAAACCAGTCACCTGCCTCTTGCCCAGATACCGAGTTCTCTTCTGTGACTGTGGGCACGCTGCTGTCTAGAGCAAACTTTCCCACGAGCGTGAAGTCTCCAAGAAATCTGTTGTTCACCTCTCCACCCTCCTCTCCTACATGGTTCCTTTTCCCTCTCCACTGGGTCTTTCACGTCAACATGAAAACGTGTTACTTCTTCTATTAAAAAAAAATCCTGCCTCGCTGTCTGCTCTTCCTCCCCACCCTCCTCTCAGATTGCAGAGTTCTGGCCTCATTGGGGCGTCTCCTCGTCTAGCCACCCTCACTTCCCTACTGACTTCCAGCTTATTATTTCCAGGCCAGACTTTTATATATGCAGCTGCCTACAGGAATCTCCTTTTGGACATGTTACAGTTCTCTCTCCTGATTCCCAGGCCAATCCTAGCCCCCAACACACACATGCACACACACACGCACAGGCACGCACGCACGCACGCACGCGCACACACACGCATACACGCACGGATCTCCTACTTCTCTGCCGTCTTTCCATCTCTCTCAGTTGCTCGGGCCCAACACCTGAGAGCCGTCCTTGACTTTTTCTTTCACATTTCGAATCTAACTAATCAGCGAGTCTTGTTGGCTCTACCTTCAAAATAGATTTGGAATCTGGCTACTTCTTGCCACATCCTTTCTAGCTCCCCGGTCCAAGCCTTGAGCACCTCTCCTACTGGTGCCTCTGCTTCCGTCCTTGGCTCCCGCCCTCATTCTGTTCTTAACGCAGCATCTAAAGTGGTTCTGTGCAAGCACAGGTCAGATGTCACTCCTCTGCCCAGAACCCTCGCTGGCTTCCCAAAGTTCTTCAAATGCCACCTGTGCTACATGATGTGGCTTCTCACTACGTCTGAGCTCATCTGCTACTCTCCCCGCTCATGCCCCCCAGCCACAGGCCTTCTCACTGCTCCTTGAGCCCCGCGGGCAGGCTTCTGCCACTGGCCTTTGCACTTCTGTTCCTTCTGCCTGGAACACCCATGTTTCCTTCAGGTCTTCAGTCACCGCCTCAGGGAGCCCTCCCTGACGACCTTATTTAAAATTATAATCCTGGATACCCTCTAACCTGCCCCTACGCTATTGCCATCTGACAAACCAGATGTTTTATTTCTATACGTGTCTGTTTTCCGTCACTAGAATGTCAGCTCTGCCAAGGCACGGGGTGTGTCCCTTTTGGTCACTGTCTTCCCAGTGCCTAGCATCCTGCCCATGACTGTTTGTTGAATGAATAAATGATCCCATAGAAACACATGAACGATCTTCGCCCCTAAACTCCATTCTTTCAAACCGAGTGCTTCACTAAGTCTTTCTCCTCCTAACAGCGTGATTTTAGAACTTATGCGCAGTTCCAGGTCCTGGCTAATTATCAGAGAGCAGATGTCATCCCCTGAAGCCCGTGCCCTGCCTTTACCTCCCAGGAGCCCCTGCTCTGGCCGGGGAGGAGCTGCTTTCCATGGTCCCAGGCAAGGCGGGCACGTCCCCATGCCTTAGCCCTCCAACCCCTCTTGCTCAGATGCATGGGCGAAGCTTCCCCAAAGGAAGGAGCCTGTTTTGACCTGGAGCCCGGCCTTCCCTTTGGCTCTTTATAATCTGGCCTAAAACCCGCCTCTTCCTCCCACCCCCAGAGGTTCAGGGTACCAGAGCCGCATCCAGGCGCCCGCGGGTCCCACGGAGCCGCACCCCGAGCTTGTGCCGCGCTTATTGGAAGGGATTCCAACTGCAGACCACTTCCCGCCAAACACAGCCACATTGTTAATGAATCAGTGGCAGCCGCATGGAAAAGGCGGTGGGTGTGGAAAGGAAAAGCTCTGGTTTATAAAAGATCTTGTGCCAGATCCTACTGATGTCATTTACTTTTTGCTCCCGGGCCAGCCCTTTAGAAACACAGCCATCTTCGGAGCGAGCCAGGCGCTGGGGCTGGGCCGGGCGCCGGGTGCAGCGGGAGCGCTTCTGCAAGGGCTTCTGGTGA